AAGTAAAAACTACTTTACCTCCAGCAATGCTCCAGATGCGATCATCTGATTAGTGTAGATCCCAAAAGAACAATATTACCATTAGACCATTATAATTGGTCCCGATTTCTTCCTTTCAATCACGAAAGTTTTATATGTGCCTCAAATTTAGATCACCATATACGACATCTGTTTCCTATTATGTTCAGAACTGAAATATGGCGTTGATATTTTAATACTTGGTAAGATCCCATGTGTAGTCTCTGCCAGATGTATTTTAAATTACTTCTTGAAGGACTGGAAAGCTAATGGAGGCAGATAGATGTTATTGGCCCTTAGTTACCTCTCAGGTAGAGCTTTCCACTTGTAAAACTCTTCATTACTTGACTCCTTTCAGTTTAATGCCTTGGCCACATCTGCGTACAGTTCAGCATATCCAAGATTTTTTTCAAGTTATCTTGGCTATAGACATATGTAAACTCTGTCTTGGCTTTTTAAGAAAAGGTCTTTGTTCATTGCACAGATCTTTATTGAGAGCCCACTGTGTGCTGGCTTCTGCCACAGCCCATGGGTGTGCTGGTCAGCAGCACAACTCTTCAGGATCTTATAGACGGGCAGCAATCTGCCTGTCTGCTCGCTGTGTCATGAGGCTGAGGGCAGGCTAAGGGGCCAGAAGCTCATGGCAGTGCTCCCTGTTGTACTGTCAAACACTATTTGATTCTGCTTTCCATCATGAAGCAGCTGAGATTTAGTGACAGTAGACCCTGGGTCCCATTTTCCAGCTCTACCACTTGCGGCCTTTATGACCCTGGAAAAGCCACCTGAAGACTCTCATTCGCTGTGGGTTCCTTGTCTCCCACATAGAGGAGAGGAGTCCTCGCCTGATAGGGTCGGTCCCAGGATTTACCTATGATGATACAAATGAGTTTAATAACCACCACATCTCACATGGGGTTTATACTTACTACATGATACTTGGGTCTGAATGAGGATTGCTGCCATTTGAGGGAGGTTTTATAAAGAGACAGGAAGAAGCAAAGGCCCAATAGCTCTGAACTTGACCCCACAATTGCTGGAAATGGGGACATGTTTTATTTATTTCTCTAGTGGTTCAAAGCATGGGCTCTAGAGATAAGCAGGGGACTTGGTTGCCTGCAGTAGTAGCTGCAGGTTTTTTCACTCTTACGGTATATACATTATAGGGTTACTGCCAGGATTAAGTGAGGTTGTGTTTTTAATATTTATAAAGAGAGAATACCTTACAAAATAAGCACACAATAGAAGAAAGCTGCTGTTTACTATTTTCTTCATTATTTTTATCATTGCTGTTGTTATTAGACCTAAGAGCCTAAGGCCTAAGAGCAAGGTGAAGATGTCACCTTGGTCTACAAGCCATTCGTAGACAACTTTAAGCTATTTAAAACTTTCAAAATACCCTTTCTTATGTTAGAAAAACTGCTGAAAGAATTTTCTTCTATTATACCTAAGTATTAAGCATAGAATAATATAGAAATCAATAATAGAAAATTTGATTTGCTAGATGCAGGATTTCCAGAAGAGTAGGTTAATTGTTCAGATCGTTTTATAATTGGAATAAATTACAAAGCATTCTATTCTTTTGTTATTTCATCCTTTGAATTATTTCTGCCCATTTAAAAAATACTATTTATGTTCCTTATAGGTAAACCCATCTAATCACAGACTCCTGTTTGAAGTGTTTGACGAAAACAGATTGGTAAGTGGGTCACAGTTTTGATTTTTGCTTCATTTTTTAAAACCTGAATTTTTAGAGCAGCATCTTTTAAAACTCTTTGTCTATGTTGTCTGACAGAATAGATGATCCCAAAATATAAGCTTTGTTCCATCACTAATTCGTGATTCTAAAAAATATTTTTGTATGGCCTGCACAGAAAATGTATTTGTATATGTATTTTTAAAGTCATAGTTAATATTGGTGAAAGACACACTGGTGATAATGTTAAAGCATATGATTAGGCTCTTCTGTTGGGAATTCAGAACAGTGTGCAGAACCTCAAAGAGGCCATCACTCATGTAAACAAACCTTTCAGAGATTTTAAATATAAGCCAGGTTTACAATACTGTCAACCATTCAATAGCAAATCTGTGGTGATTCTCTTTGGGAAAACAGAAAACTAATTAACAGTATATAGCAAAAAGTGAATCTATATTTAGCAGGTAAAATTAAACTGTGTTTTGAAAGTGGTAGTTTCTCAAGGGAAATTCATAGAAAGAACCTTTAAAGAACCAAAGACATGCTTGAGGTATAAAACACAAACATTTTATATATAGATTAAGAGGTAAATTAAAGGTCTACATCTATATTTAATAAAATAGATAGCTATAAAGTAGATATATAACTAAGATTTTATTTTTAAAGTGGAATTTCAGAAGAAAATCTGGCTTGAAGCATTTTTGTTAGATTTAACAAACTAGAATGAATACATCAAGTACCTTGGGTTAAGTGTTCCTGCTATGAAAATGAACATTGTTATGTGTAAATTTCTAAGGTACTCTCAGCCATGGCATTATAACTCAGTGTGCTCAGTTGTACTCAAATTTACTTTCCCTGAAACTTAAGTATATATTTTGGTTAAAAGGAATGTTCTTATGAACCCTTTTGGCTGCAGAATTCAACTGAAACTGCAAGTTTTTGATTAGCATAAATTTAATAGAATATCTGATCTGGAAGAACCTTACAAAACAACTCATTTAACTTCCTGTCTTTGCAAATGAGAGAATCTTTGCATAATTTGAACGCTTCAGTCAATAGTAGCACCATGGTAGAATTTCTGGTTTTCCTAAGTCTCAGACAAGTGGTGGTGAATCATCAGGCTTTGCGCCCTTATTAAAGAACTCTGGACTGTATTTAATCTCCTATGCTTGGTATTATCCTCGAGATCAGAAAGTCAACAGATTCTGGTCCTGCCATCCTGATGTCTCTTCTATTAAAATGTATGGGTCCTCAGTGGCTTTGTATTATACTCAACATTTTATACGGTGGGTGATAATTAGTAGGACCAAATAACTTAGTCACTTTTGCTGTGTGTATGAAGTCGTTTTCTTATTAAACTGAATGAGAGATTCTGCTGAGGGTGCAGTTCTTGGCACTCCACCTCTCACCCAGCACAGATTGTGAATTAGGCAACGTTCAGTAGAGTAAATCCCTGAAGACACAGATGCATACGCAGTCTAATCCTCATTCTCTCATTTATGGAGTAAATTAACACTTCAGAGTAAAGAAAGGGTCAATTTGGAGGAAAAATTGCCTCTTGTCAGATGTGTGTGTGTAGAAAATGTTTCCCATTTCCATTACCTAAAGCAAGGACTTGTTGAGAAGACCTTGCTGTGGATCCTAACCTGTACTTTTCAAACCAAAAAAGGCTTTGCATGCAAAGCCCCAAGAAATGCTCTGTGAATATACACTCTGTCTGAAAAATAGTGTTTTATGATACGAATACTGGCTTTGCCCCAGGTCCACCTGCAGTGTCCTTACTATGTACTGAGGTTGTTGGTGGTGTTTTTTTTCTTTGTTGGCTATTCATGCAGCTAAGACAATACATGACTGTAGTGGTGTTTGGCAGTTTTAGCATTTAACCAACTAGCTTCTATTTCTCCTAGAGGATCATTTTTGGCATTTAAAGTGTGTGCCTTTAGAAAACAGGTTTGGATGTATGTAAACACAGGGTTAATCCCCCACACCCTCAACCCCAGAGCTGTTGACAAAGTCATGCTTTGCAGATTTTAAAATAATCCTTTTGTCACTCTTCCCAGCTTGGTATTTCCCCCTCCTATTTTTCACTCCCTCCCAAATAAACGTCTTTGTTAAATGACTGATGTTTCTGGATCATGGAAAATAATAAGTGTAAAACACACAGCATATATCCTAGTGAACTCCAAATCTGATGACATTTTTTTGAACGTGGTCTTTTATTACTTAGGTCCTTTTTGGCCCCTCACAAAAATAGCAAAATTCCATGTTTGTGGTAATAATTGCTGACTTCTTACTGGAAAACAGTCAGCTCCTGGCAGCCTTTTTTTTCTGTATGGAATTTAAGTTAACCTCCTTAAACCACACGCACTCCCTTCTATTTTCCTTCTTTCCTAGGGGAGGGAGGGTGTAAGGGGGAGTGTAGTTGGGGTTTCCTTGTTTTTTTTTGCCCCTTTCCTCCTGTCTAGCATGTAGGAGAGAAGGCTTTCTCCAGCCTAGGTTCCTTTTCTCTGGCACTTCCGTGTCTGACAGCCATACTCTGTGTACGATCAACACAACACACACACACACCTTTTACACGAAAACTTTTGTAGCAGGAGGCTGACAGTCTTGTGCCCCTCTCCACTCAGCTATTTTGTTACTTGTAGAGATCATGGTCTGATTATTTAGCATTAAAGGGACACTAGGACACTAATTCTGTGGGATGTGTAATCGTATTTATAGTACATTTTATTAGTTTGCATTCCATTGTGGTAGTGTGGTGATATCATAAATAACAGAAACCTAATATCTGATGCTTGTGGAAGGGTTTTCCTGAAGCCAGGGCTTATTTACTTGTCGTTACTTGGCCTAGTGGGGCGGGCGGCAGAGTTTTGAATACCCTGTGCGCTTGGGAGTCGAGCGCAGGGTTTCTCGCATTGGATCCGGAGGCCGAGTGCCCCGCTCCGTTTGGAGAGAACTGTCCTGTGAATGTGACGCGGTCTAGATTTATAGCAGCGGGCTCGGGGTGTTTGCTGTCTTCGTCAGCTGTGAGAGCTCCCTGCTGGGGCCACTCCTGTCTGATGGAAAAGCAGCAGCTGGGAAGGTGCTGTTTCAGGCTCTCTCTGTTTAAAAAAAAAGAGAGAGCGAGAGGGGGGAAACTCCACTAAGTCCACAAGCTGGCATTGGAGGGGGAGACCGCGGTCATGTGCTTCTGGCCATCCTACCCTCTGTCACAGTGCGGGTGAGAGCTCTGCGCTCTTACCCAATCATGCCTGGAATGCCGCTCGCCACTGGGGTTATTTCTGCTATCTGTCGCTCTTGGTGCTGCAGTGCTAACGGTTTGGCAGATGGGACGCTTTTTCTTGGAGTTTGTGCCTTTGGTTTCTGACTTCTGGCAGAGCCGGGCCTGCTGCTGCTCGCCCTCTCCCTCCCTGCCCCTCTGGGCACCATGGCCCATCGGCTTCGGTTTCATTTTGGCTCTGGTCGCAGCAACACAGCCCCCGAATCAGAGATCCTAGACCAGGAGAGAGAAGACGACTTTTTCATGGCATTCCACACCCTGCCGCGGAGGAGCGGCCCTCACGCCTTTGCCCCGAGCGGCGCGGAGGATGGCGGCGGCCTGCGGGGAGGCGTGGGCGCGCTCAAGCGCAGCTCGTCCATGTTCATCCCCCAGCTCCTGAGCCCCGCGGACACGCGCCCCACGCGGAGCTCGTCCATGCAGATCTCGCTGCAGCGCAAGGCGGCCGACGGGGCCCCCGACGGCAGCGGGCCGCCCGAGGGTCTGGACGGCGATGCGGGCCCAGAGTCTCGGGGAGGCTGCCAGGACCCACCGGAGCCCCCCACGCCCGAGAGCTCCCCTCCAAAGGCAGCTGGGGTGCCCGGCCACCAGGTCAACGGCACGTGCAACCGCCGAGCGTGCCGCCCCACCGTGTCCGACGGCCTTGAGGAGGCCGGTGGGCTCCGTGTCCAGCACCGCGCCTCCAGCGCCGACGTGCGCCAGGTGAGGCTGATGCCCTTCGGCGCCGATGGCCCCGGCAGCCCCTCGCCTCGCGAGCCGCGGCGCTGGTCCCTGCAGCATGTTCCAGATGCCTCTGGAAGTTCTGGGAAGCGGTGCTTCGTTTTCCAGTTGCAGCAGCCTCAGCCCGGCACTCCGGGGCCTGGTGGGGACTTCAATTTCGGTTTCACTGGCACCAAGGGGGACCGGTTGGTGCGGTATCCCCGCATCCGGCTGGAGAGGAGCACCTCGTACCCCACGCAGCCCCGAGCGGGGCGCACCAGCCCCACGGAAGAGCGAGGCCACCCTGGACACCTGGAGACGCTTCCTCGGGGCCGCAGGGTGGCTCCCGAAATCCACAGGACCAATTCTGTGGAAAGGATGCCACAGGGTCAGGGCTGCACGTTTAAGATCAGGCAGGATCAAAATGCGGGGCAGCAGCATTTCAGAATTCTTGTGACTCGGGGGCCGGAGGAGGCTTCCCAGAGCTCCGAGGAGGAGAACTCCCCCAGCTCTGCGTCCACTGTCGCCGGTGCCCAGGTAAGTTAGCCTGCGTTTACATGTGCCGGCCGGTCACTAGGGATGCTTCCAGCCCACAAAGTGTACTCTGCTGCGTAAATAAACTCCATCCTCCTCCCTTCTGGGAGTTTCCCTGCTTAGGGTCAGTGTGACTTCATGTTAGGCTGAGTTCTCTGACCACGGTTTGTGGTCGGTCTAGTGTTTGGTAGAGGTCTATGAAACTAGTTGGCATTTCAGGAAAAGTCACATCTTTAGATCCTCAAAGTCAAATAACTCCGTTTTTTAAATCCAAACAGCCCGTCCCTTCTCCCCCCACCTTCTGATAAAAGAATTTAAAATATTTGTGACTTTAATCTGCCAATGCCCCAACGTGTTGATGTTGGAAATGCATTTAAAAGCTGCTTGCAAATATAGCTTGTGACAAGACTTGACTTTAAAAATAATCAGTTTTGATAAAGGTGAGAGAATATCAAAAAAACTGGGGCCTAGTCTTTTAATAAGTAAGAGGATATAAAGTTTGACCACCTCTTCTCAGTGACCTTTTTCTGTTGAGGTTTGGCCCTTGTTACATAATTTATTGTCTCTATAGTTTTGTTTTGTTTTGTTTTTGTTCCATTAAGTAATAGTGAACAGTAGTCACACTTGTGGGATAGTAAGGAATGTGTTTTTGAAGCAGTTTAACTTACGGGCCAAGGCCAAGCAAGACTGAAGGGGGACTTGTTAATGGTCAGATTGTGTGGCCCTGCAACTTAACACTGCCCACTTGAGTGTCTAAGCTGGGATGCTGTATATAGAATAGTAAGTGCCCTGTCTCCAGCTGTGGAAACAGATGCCCTGGAACAGATTTGGGCCTTTATTCCTCCTGTGTTCTTGCTCTCTCCTTTCGGTGAAATGGAGTGCAGAAAGACAACTGCTGCTACCTCCAGACAAATGATGACTCTGCAGCTTTTAGAGTTAGTGGAATGAAAACTTTGCTTCAGTTAGCTTTCTTTACTAGCAATCACTAGTCATTGAGTGCCTTTTTTTTTTTTTTTTTTTTTTTT